ACCAGATCCTGAAACACTTCTCTGATATCACCCAACACTTGTTCTCAGCAGGTAGTGGTTTGGAACTGCTACGTAGGGAGAAAGCATATCCCACTGCTGCTAATCAAATGTGATGGAATCCCACCTTGGTGCTTCTGTCAGAGAACTACTTCCTCACCACTGAAACACAGGAACAAGATGTTATAGCTGGTTATTGCACCCAAGAACTAGACAAAACTAGCTCAGGTGCAAACAGAAATTTAAGGTTATTGAAAAATCACACTGAATTTATACTACACAAAATCAGATAAGAGCTTGATCACATTATCCTAAACAATGCAAACTTCAAACAGTAATATCATCAGTACATCTAATGAACATCTAGCAGCTAACAGTAACCTATTTAAACAGTGATCTAATTAACAATAAGCTAATCAACAACCAGGCACCCAGACCAGTCAGGGAGCCCACCTGACAAGTCAGGGACCCCACCCCAGACAGACTGGCAACCACAACCCTGAATACACAAAGTAAATAATACATGCTGTCTTTCAAATGTTTGGCTTTCACTTCTGTAATCTGTCCACTAGAAAATTCATCATAAGACAAAATTCATACAATATTTCAACTGTCTGAAAAAGTGGAATTATTTATAGTCATAGATTTCTTGAGGGAGATTGTTGATAAATATTTCTGTCCCAAGTGGAGGAGCTTCTCCAACCAAGTCTGCAGGAGGGCCACCATATTTCCTCTGATCATTAACATGTACAAGATTAATATTACACCTTTCCATCCACTCCAGATGGGAAGCTTTATTTTCTTTATTCAGATAATTAATCCAAGCCTCACTCTCAGCATTCATCACGTTGTTGTCCATCATCAGAGAATGATCTGCTCTCTCCATGGGATGTGAGGCTGAACTGAACTCTTTTCCATGCTCTGACTGGGAGAAGCAGACAAAATCCCTGGTCTCCTCCATGGGCCATAATCAGTGGGTAGAAAGCTAGTCCCCTCCAAAAGCCCGTGTCGGTTGGGTCTGTCACAATAATATATTAGGATTATTAATTATTGTATAACATTATACTGATAGGAAGCTGGATAATTTATTAATATTAATTTTGGAGAAGGAGTGGGATTTAATAAGCTGGTACTTCTTCCCACTCCTTTTCAGATATGTAAATTAAATTTTTTCTTCTTTAGTTTTATGTTTTATTTTGTAACCAGTTTTTTGTATCTGCCTGTAGCACTACCCTCTTAGGGGATGCTGAGTTATGGGCCCTCCTATAGTTCTGCAGTCAGGCAACACGCATTTTCTTCCTCCACACTTGCACACTGAAGACAGTAACCAGTCCTTAGACTTGTTTTTGTATTTTAATGAAGGGGTATTGAACTTGGATAGGGTTGAGGAATGCATGGGATGCCCTGTGAATTGCAAAACAACACCGTAGTAACTATCTACAGGTCTATGGACAATTATAAAAAAGACTGTCTCTTCTCTGAGAGCCCTCCAGCTTTTGGGTATACCTCCTCAGACCCCAGATGAATCCTCCTCTTCACCTTTCTGTACTGATAGTATTTCCTGGGCAAGGGAACCCATAAACTTCAACAGTCCCACCTGAGGAGCTAGTTGGGTTCTCCAGCTGACTGCCCTCTCCCCCTATCTGGTCCAAGGGGTGTAGGGTTACTTGCACTGTCCTTCCTGATAGCTTAATGGGTTGGTGGCTGCCTTCAGGCCTTACACTGGGATGTCCTTCCTGGTAGATGGTGGTACAGTGAGATCCCCTTCTCCAGCACCTGCTTGTAGGTAGGCCCTTTCCCTGGGCCCCCTCCCAGGCTCCAAGCTCCAGCCTCTCACTCCATCTTCCACCCGACACTGAACTCACACTCCCAGGCTTTGTGATTCTTAAGGGTTGCCTTGGTCACCATGCCCAGCTTCCTGCTAGGGGATTGGCCAAGGTCCGCAGGCATGCAGATCAGAGCTTTCTCCCCTCCTCCATCCCTATTCCAGAAAGCTTTCAGGTTTCTGGAGAGGTGGGAGGGCTCCAAAAGGTCTGACCTTCAGAACCTCCCTAGCCTGTTCTGAGGTAACCTCTCATTCACAGGCTGACTCATCCCAGGCTGCTACTCAGATTCTAACACCAAATTAGCTAGCTAACCTGGAGGGCATTACATGTCTATTACTGTATGATTACTTTTTTTTTTTTTTCATGTTCAGAATAAACCACTACTACTAGATTATAACCCTGTGTGGTGTTACGCCCCTCTATATATTTGTGCCTGCCTTCGGTGGTGTACATCAGACTGGACCTGGATGACTCGATCCTCTCTTCTCTTTGCTGAACAAATGCATTCAGAATCTGGTTTATCTGTGCAAGGTAGCTAGTCAGTTTTCTAACGTCAGCTTGTTCAATTAAGCTATGGCTTTGTATACTTATATCAGCTGTGAGAAGCCATGTCCAATGTAGTATCACATGCTTAGCCTGCTTGTTATACTACATTCTTTGTATTGTATTTTGGGTATTCTAATGTTTGTTCTTTTATTACCAGCACAATAAGTGCTCCTGGTGAAGATTTCTAAGTGAAACGCTTAGATATTCTATTGCCTTCTAGTCTACATCTTTGTGTGTTCCATCATTTTAAATTTAATGTAATTTGGAGATGATATTGTTATATATTGTTGTCATCATTCATATTGGGCTGAAGGCTATATGGGGTAGATTTACTAAAAGCGGTGCACTCAGAATCTGGTTTATCTGTGCAAGGTAGCTAATCAGTTTCTAACTTTCTAAAACTTGAAAGTTGATTGTTTTTTCTGCAGAGCTGCACTCTCCAGTTTTAGCAAAATAATCCCCTATAGTTATATATACAAAGTTTTTTATATATATGAGTGCAGTGAAAGCACTTTTGATGCTTAGTGGCAATTTAGTTTTTGGAGTTATTTGCACAATTATTACTATAGATTGTTTTCATAAATTTATGCATAGGACACTCACTGGGGTCCACCTTCATAGGAAGCCCAGTTTGGTAGTTTTTTTTTATCCTGAAAAAGCAAACCGCTGGATGGGTGCTACCGCAATGTGACACTCATGTTTAAAGAGACATGTGGTGTACCACTTATCATGATTTTCAGTAAACAGCCAGCAGATGCCTTTCTTGGATACCGCTGGCGCTCTCACAATTGACTGAAAGGAAGTAGACCTATGTGGGCACATTAGTAAAAAAACAAAAAACTGTCATCTTGATGGTCAAATGTAGCTTCCTTTGCACTGTCTTTTTTAATGAAACTGTTTGTAGTATTGGAAACAGCATTACTTTAATACCTGTTGGGAATTACAAGTCCATGTAATTGCAGAGAGAGCCACAGCAAGTGCAATGCCTGCAATGTAAAACTGATCTGGCTGCCTCCACAATGCATTTGTCAGGAGCAGTAGTTAAACTACAAATAAATTAGTTACAACTCTTCTGAAGGCTGAATTTCCGCATCAGTGAGATGCCTCAGTGTAGTCTTTTTTTAGAGTTAAAGCTCTGCCCATTCACCTCAAGGCCTTGTAGTCAATCCTTAGGGAGTCACTTAACCTCCCTGCGTTAGGCCAACACCCACGCTATAGCCATGCTTCCACCAGTCAAGGCTCCCTCTCCCTGAGGGGTTTCAGGGGCCTTCATCTTTTTTACAGTTTTGCTAGTGTAATATACAGTATAATCCCACTAATTCATATAGGCAATAATACTGCTGTTTGCACCACTTATTACATGGGGTTGATTTGCTAAAGGCAAATAGGCTGTTCACTTTGCAAGGATTTTTCCCATAGCTTAGTAAATGTGGTGAATTTTCAGTTTACAAAGAATAGCCAATCACATGCAAGGAAAATAGAAAAACAAAATTTTTGCTTGCAAATGATTGGAAGATGGAAGTCAACAGCGTTTCACCCCTTTACTAAGCTCTGGGGGAAAATGCAAAGTGCAACTTTCTTTGCAATGTGAACAGCACATTTTCCTTTAGTAAATCAGCCAGAAATGGTGTTATTGAATCCTAGCCTGGGTGAAAAGGCCCAGATGTCTAATTTAAAGTAACAACACACTAGGACGCTACTCCTTTAACCGCTTCCCCGCTGCCCTATAGCAGGGAGGCAGGGGTGCACAAAATCGTGCACAGCACAGCCATCCAGAGCAGTGCGATTTCAGTGAATCACACACATCCTGCCCCCTAGTAAAACACTACACATAGTTAACCCTTTGATCACCCCCTCATATTAACGCCTTCCTGTACAGTGTCAGTGCTTTTTTTTAGTACTGATCAATGTATTGGTGTCACTGGGGAATGTCAGTGACACCAAGTTAGTTCCCCCCCAGTGTCAGAATGTCCGTTGCAGTCCCGCTAAAAGTCGCTGCCAATTTTCTAACATTTTTGCTTTGATTAACCTCCCTGGCGGTATGATTATTTCAGATTTTTGGTGCTGAAAGCGGTACCATTTTTTTGCATGGAAATATGTATTTTTTTTATTGTAGGCTGTAATTTTTAGGAAAACTCACTGAAATCTGTCCGAACAAGAGTCTAGTAAACATCCCGGGTATGATAAAATTTGAAACACAAAATCATAAATTATAATTTAATAAATAATCATAAAAAAATATAAAAATAATAAAAAATTTACTTCAATAATATAATCAAACCAAAAACACTGAAATGTGAAATAGAGCGCCAAGTTCGCACATTGCTGAGCTCAGTCGCAAAATCGTTTTCAGTTTCTGATGACGAATTTCCCCCACGAATCATTATCACTCAATTCTGTAAGTGGTTCTGATTTTACTATCGCTGTTCTCTAGCTGATCTAAACCACTTTTGACCTAAAGGGACACTTTTTGAAAGAACAGACAAAATGCAGGCAGGGCGCAGGACAAAGCACTAGGGACAATATGTATGTGAAATAGGTTGAAACAGCAATGTTTTACTGTGTAAAATGAAAAAAAAAAAAAAAATGACATTTTTTAAATTTTTAAATTTCCCGCCGCCGCCCGGCGGCGGCGCCCGTACGTCCCGACGTCACAGGGACAGGACACAGAAGCCGGATGCCGGCATCGGCCGGAGGAAATGGCCGGGGACGCTGCAGGGGACACATCGTGGGAGCGCAGGGTAAGGTAAGTGAAGAACACATGCCGGAGCAGCGCCGCATGGTATTCCCGAGTGTAGCTCGGGGTTACCGCTTTTGGTACTGAAATGTTACCCCGAGCTACACTCGGGAATACCGCCAAGGAGGTTAATTGAATTATGTCACCATTGTACAAGGGTACACATGCTCTGTGAGAACAAAAATATGTATGGTTAGTACATCAATATGAGATAAGCTTTGCAGGTTTGTTCCAGATGGGCAGGTGTGCTTACCTATTTTTCAAAATGATGGCATCTTTTTTATAAATACTTTCATTTAGCTCTAAGTTCAGTCACCAATTTTCCTGCACACCTAGCTGTTTTTGAACCATCAAAAATGTGGCAGAAAACAGCTGGTGTGGTGGCTTCCCAAAATTGGGTATGAGAAAATGCCACTGATATTTCAGCATCCTACTTCTCCATAAATATTCATCATCCATTTTACTTCTGTTTTTTTCAACGTTTGCTTTGTATTTTGACAAAATATGATACAATTGTATTGGACATTTTCGATAATTTCATGTGTATTCAAATGGATGACCAAGTTATTGTGCGCTAAATCACATATTGCTAACTTCTGAACATAATTCAAACATGCAGATCTTATTTGTGACTTTTTGCAACTCACAGTTTCAAAATATTATTTATAATCTGATAAAAAAAATCATACTTGGACACTCAAGTTGAAACTAATTTATTAGTTTTAATTGCAAACTAACTTAGAGGGTCACATCAAACATACAAGCTTGCAGACCTGCCAAATAAAGTGAGGAACAGTAAAATATGTAACTGCTATCTAAATAAACCTATAGGTATTGTTAGTGATCCATAGTTATTTAAAGATGACTTGGCCTAAAATATTACAGTTCTGAAGTGCAGGCACCTATGTCTGTAGATCTGCTGTGAATCTCAGGCCCAGGATATACAGTAGACGGGGCCTGCTTCAGTTCAGATTAAAGTTTCATTACAGGCTGTGCTTTGTCAATGGCAAAGCAAACAGAGGGGGCAGAGACAATAATTGGAACTAGTGTCTGTTATAGAAGCCTCTCTGATGTGTTGGAGAGTCAGAGGTACTTTTCAATGCTCTTTCTGGAGAACTTAAAAACAGCGTTTATAAGAATTTTCACGAAAGCACAAGGAAAGTTCATTAAGGGAAAAGTACACAAGTTTTAAGGTGTCTCAAAATATAAAAATGAAGGTGCCCAGTATTGGGTTTTAAGCTCTGCCTTTTCCTGGAGCTATGCCCCATTACCTTGTCACATAATTCCACAGCTTCTACTACCCACTTAAGTTCTGCCATTGAAAGTTACATAACAGGGGCAGAGTTTTGTGCTGGGAGGAGGAGGTTCATCTAGACTTGGGCACAGATTGAGGCTCCATGTACATCCTGGGCCTGGGATCCAAGGAGACTCAGATTTACTTAAAGACCAAAAAGGGTACTTACAGTTCATCACTATTGCTTTCTTGGAATATTTTAGGCCAGGTTTAAAACCAAAAGACCAATCAATGAAAAATTGCCAACAACAAGCTAGGATATGCAGGAAAGTATTGATAACTGTTTGGATCAAATATTAAGGTTATGTTAGTCATTTTGGGTGATGTGCATGTATATAGAACATACGGATACCATAATGATGTGCATAGCAATTTGAAAATCACAGCAATCAGTCATATATCAGCTTTGGTAGTTTTGAGTGTCATAAAAAACAAACTTGTGACGGACTGCTATGAGTTACTGCACATCATTACTCTCTGTATTAATTCCATACTGACTGGTGTTATGAAAGTGACACTTTGAAAATATATTCAACCACATTTAAGAAGTGTGAATATCAGTGATTTGTGGTCAAGTGCAAAACTACAAATGGACTTAATTTGCTAATGAAAAGTGAGGTTAGTTGTAAACGTATTCACTTCCAATCATGTGCAGAAGATTTTAAAAATACTTCTTCACATGATAGAATGTTGGAAGTGTACACAGGCTCACCTATACTTACTTAACATTTCATGCCCTTCCCACTTTAGTAAATCAGGAACATAGTGGCTGTTTTTAGTAGTTTAATGAGAACCGCAATGGAAAATTCGAAATAGGAGAAAAAACATTCAGAAAAGTAGAGCAGTAGCCCATAGTAATCCAGCAGGTTTCTTGCCTCATTTGCCCAGTGACAGACAGATAAAACCTGATCTATATTCATTTGCTTCACTTTCCTTGCCTTAGGTTGAACAGCAGCTGTAGCACTGTTTGTATGTTTAAGGGCCAATTCACCCCAGTGCTGCTGTAAAACGCAGATCAGCGGAAGGACATCTGAAAAACAATATTTTCCACTGTCTCCTATTCACAACATAACATTGCGTTGCGCTAAAGTGCAAAATGTATGTCAACGGACATCAAAATGCATGGAAAGGTACATACATTTTAGCGCAAGTCAGTGTGAATTGGCTCTAAAGGAGCTCCAGTGTGCCTTAACATATAACTAGCAACTTGCACAATTGCTTTTACAATTTTTTAAGATATTTAAGGAACACCATAAAAATGGGAAGAATATGGGTATATTAAAACTATATTATTCACTAGAATCTCAAACTTTAAGTAAAAATAATTAACTTTCTTCAAACACAGGGAAACCATTATGCATGCTATAAATACAGAGTGTACCTAAAACATAGATTAGTCATACGATGATACTCATTTTTTTCTATGGGACAAGAAGCACTATTCCCATTCCTGGCAAGATTAGGCTCAGTTAAGGCTCACACATTTTTAACTGCCTTAAAAAATCTTTTAACAATCCCCTCTTTAATGACCGTATACATTCAAAGAAATGCCCCTAAATAAAAACTATTATAAACATTAAACAAATGTAACAATCTTTAAAAATTAAAATCATAAAAAATGAAACTGGGCAGGTTCTGCAAATTTCACTGAAATATTATTAAGCAGCTTTCATTTTTCGTCTTCGATCTACTTTGGGAAATGCAGCCCAGCCAGCTTGCATATTTTTTATATTTGAGACAATACGGGGCTTGATAGATGATTCAGTGAGAGTCTAAAAAAATGAGGAAACACATAAATCATAAATCGTAAATTGTATTTGTTGGGGTTTAACCCACGCACAAAGGTAGAACTACTGTAAATGATGTTTAATACACTCAATTTATGTGAATTGTATGGTGCTGTAAACTGGTTGTCCAAAATGTTCAGAACGGGCTGTATGGCTTTAGGTCGAAGGAGCTAGTTTCTTTATATTGCTTATAGCTCTCTTTTACACACAATGCATCATTTCTTAATACTTGCATTTTGTGGCCAATTCATAATATATAAAAATATAAAATATAGGCCACTGTGTTGAGTTACCTCTATTAAAGGGCCTGTGTTAATGGGTTTTGGGACTGTGTTGATGGTATCAGCGTGACACAGATTTTGATTGGGATTTCAAAACCCATTTGAAGCAAGTCAATCTTGTCGACACAGGCACTAACACAGCAGAGAGAATTCCTTGACTAGAGGAGAGCAAGTCATGGGACTTTGCCAGGTCACAAAACCAGGCTCACTTCTCAATTTTTATCTTCCCCTTTATTTGATAGTGTTTCACCAGCTTAGATTTGTTAAGCACACAGCTTTTGTCCTAAAGCAGTGATAGAGCTGCACTACTGCCATACCACTGCTTTTTACATAGATCCCAATGTCCCAAAAGTATTAAAGTGTTACTAAACCCAAGACCCTGCATTCACTATATGTAGTCTCCCACAGTACACAGAATATGGAAATGCAATTATTTTTGTAAACATAAAAAGCTAAATATCTATTCTCATCAGCAGTTAGAGCAGTCTTGTGACTTCTATCAGTGTTCAGCCGAGCACTGGTTAAAGCTTGTAGGAGGAGGTTTCATTCTCTCCTGATAGTCCTATGAGGCTGCATGACCCCTGGCCCTCTGTCAGGACAGTTCTGATTGGCCCTGTGCTGATCACATGCACTCTCCCAAAGAAAAAATGAAAAACTCTCTAGCAATACACATCAAACTGAGCATTTTCAAGAGTGCCTCCTAGAGCTCTGTACTATCACAGATGGATTGGGGACAGTGGAAGAAGGGGAGGATTAGAGAAGACAGGATCAAACATCCTTTTTTATACAATGTGGAGGATTAACCCGTTAGATTCCACAGTGAGTATAACAAGCATGCTTTACTGCATATACAGACTGATTTTACTGTTGTGGGGTTAGTAACACTTTACATCTTTCATATCGTTGTTTAAGTCCGGTTAATGATAAAATCTTAGAATTAGAACTTGAGAATGTACTGTTGAAAATGTAATATATTGCTGCTTGCCAATCATTAGATGATGAGGCTGCATTAGTTTTCTTTTTTAGGCTTTTTTCCTTCTGTTTTCACCTAGTGATCTAGTCAGTAACACACCTCCTGTAACTGAGTGCATAGGGGGCACATTTGGAATGTAGCATTGTCAATGGGGGGGGGGGGGGGGGGGGAGTGTTTAAATGTACTAGCAGGTTTAGATACACTTACAAACTTCAGCTCACACTTTATAAGCAGTTACAGCAAACATTTTTTTTTTTTTTCCTTTTTGGGAATTCTGATCATTGTAAGCACCCCTGTCCGTTTTTAAATAGTTTTTTCTCCACACTGTAACTGATACATCTGCAAAAGAGCTTGTTAATTGAAAAACAACAGACTTACTGGCGAAATCACCAGATGAAAATAGAAGAAAGAAATTCTAAAAAAGTAATTACATCAAAGAATTGGTACAATCTACAATACAATAAATGTTTTCTTTTGGGTTTGATGTCACTTTAAGTTTTAATATCAACTGAACAAAACTGACAATACAGGTGTACCTTTCTTGGAGTATAGGGGACTAGGGTGTCATGTGATGCCTCATGTACACTTTTGAAAATCACATCATTTTTATATAATCCCTATAATAACATGATAGAAAAAAGTGGTTCAGTACAACAGTTATATATTTACAATTTTAACACCTTGCATTAAAAACCTTTACAACTAGTCATTTCATATCTAAATGATGATCCTATTATTCTTCTGCCTATACCTGCACATAGAGGTTAATGGAAATAAGAGTCAGATGCAGAT